CTGTTGGCACGTTCATGATTTCAAAATTCAGTCAGGTGCTTGCTTTTCTGAAAACGTCATCTTCAAGGGGAAAATGTAGCTTTGGATCCCTGTTGCCTAGTGACGGGGCCTTTTGTGTCACTGGTCCTAGGAGGACAGGACTTACCGGAACACGAGATTTGCTTGAGGAGAGGACACACGTTCAGGAGCAGAAACCAGGCCTAGTGGGACTTGGAGCCTTTGGAGCAGCCAGCCAGCCCTTGGGGTCCTGAGCAGGGGGAAGAGAGGGCACAGAGGGGGCCTGAAGGGAGGTCTGTCAGCTTCAACTGAATTTTCGATGCCCGGGCGGCAGTGCCTGGATGCCCGGGCGGCTCAGTGCCTGGATGCCCGGGCGGCTCAGTGCCTGGTTCCCCGGACGGCTCAGTGCCTGGTTCCCCGGGCGGCTCAGTGGATGCCCGGGCGGCTCAGTGCCTGGATGCCCGGGTGGCTGCCCGGGACAGTACATTTTGCTGGGGCAGAAGTTCCCAGGAAATTGATTTCTCTGCCAATCAGGAGGAGGGACACAGCTCAGTTAATGCCGGTGACTGTTTGCTGTCGGCCGGCGGTGGGGTCCTACAGGTGCCGATGGGCCACGTGACACCACGCTCTGCCCACTCATCTTAGAGCAACAATGACCTGGGCCTGCTTCCAGGGGAGGCCTGCTGGGAGGTGATCTGCCGCAGGCTGTGACGCTTTCGAAAAGGGTGCCGACGTCCTGGACCTATAAAGTGAGTCTCTTGGAGCCTGAGCCCTTTGAGGCTATGATATGAAGGAGCTGTCATGGATTCGGTTCTTGAGCTTTGGCTAGTGTGTGTGCATTGTGAGCATGCGCAACGTAATCCCTCGGAAAACTTAGAACACGTGGTCAGACCAGGTGGTGGCTACCTCACCTTTGTTCCCTCCAGCCTGCACCAGGTGGCCCACCCAGGCAAGGGGTGGGAGAGGCAGGGGATGCAGGCCGTGGCTTCTGTGGGTGGGTCGAGGACGGGGCAGGGGCCTGGGAGTTGCCATCAGGGTGACAGTGAGCCCGCTGGGGTTTTGTTAGTGACAGCCCTGCAGCAGCCCAGCCACTGTCAGCTTCCCTTTGCTCAGTGAGGAAAGGGTGGCCGTCAGCCGCGTTGGCACAGGCCCTGTGTGGGACGGAGCGGGGAGCGGCCGGTGGGGAGGGGTGGCCAGCGCTCTGGCATGAGTCAGTGGCAGGACTAGGGGCAAGTCATGCAGCCCCTTGTTTGTAAGGCAGAGAGAACTGCACCCCAAACTGTTCTGCGGCCCTTTCGGTTCTTTACAAGGAACAAAGCCTCAGGGATGGGAAGAAAGGCCGGGTTCTGCCCCCCGTTGGTGTGGGTCTCAGGGTTACTGTTTCGGAGTGAACTGTATCTGTGGAGACATTCCAGCAATGCGCTCAGCTCGCGCGGCAGTGACATCGAGTCTCAGCTGGAAACGCCTGCCCGTCTGCCTTCCCAGAGGCTGTGCTGCTCCCGCCCTCCCCCGAGGACACGTGGCCGTGGCTGTGGCCAGTGGTGTGGCCGCGCCTGGCTTCCGGAGGCGGGGGCGGGGCTGATGTAGGCCGCCCGCTCAGTCCTGCCTTTTTCCTGGCCTCAGCCGTCCTGGGATGTATTTTCAGGGGGGACGGGCGCTGTGCTTCTCCGTGGGTGCCTCCCTGAGGCTGTGTCCCTCTGAGCTGTCACTTACTGTCCAGCGCACCACCCCCGGCTCCGCGTCAGTCCTTTCCTCTCAGGTGAACACTTGCCTGCGTTTTGTCCCCACCGTGAAGTCTGCTGACCACGCACTGTCCCAGGCTGTCCAGCCGTGGTCTCGCCCAGGAAGCAGCTGCGTGTGTGCTCCGCCCGCCCTCACGCTTCCCCTGCCTCTCGCTGTGGTCTGCCTTCGATGCCGGCCCTGCCCGGAGCCAAGTGGCCTTTTGTCTCCTGGCAGTGACCTCTCCCCGCGGTGTCCTGTCGCCCCGCCCTCGCCCTGTTTGTGCTGAGGGCCAGGTGGCCGGTCTGCTGGAGGCCACAGGGGCCGGTTCCGCTCCAGAGCCAACCGGACAGGAGAGGCTTTGAAAACCTTTGCCTGCTTTTGGATTTTATGATATATTTTTAAAAAGTGTGTGTTCCCTTTGTGCTTTAGTTTCTGGGCCACGTCTTTAGCTTTAGTTACACTCCTCCTGGGCGTGGTAAGGAGAGGTGCTGCACCCGGCCTCACCGCCAGGCCTTGGTTTGTGGGCGGTCCCGCCGCGGGGGCGGGGCTGTCGGTCTGTCTGCCGGGCAGCTTTCTCCAGCTCACACACACTCCCGAGACGGGCTTGACAGTGGCTGCCTCTGCCTTTCTCATGATAGTCAGCATTTTAATGAGGAAGCGATGTCAGGGTAGAAATGTGTCCAGGCCATTTCCAGTGTGAGCACCATCAGGTCAGAGGGTGCAGCTCCTGCTGCTTCAGGCGTGTGCCCCCCGAGAAATGACGGGAGCCGCCAAGACAGGCCCCACGCGTCCTGGGAAACCTCTCCTGCTCCTGCAGCCCCTGCACCTCCTGCGGCGGCTCTGAACCGAGCGAACCCATTCCCCGTGGAACGGGCTTTTGGGCGCTACCCTCTCGCGGTTGGTTCTGTCCTTCGTTCCTAGTTGGCAAAGTAAGTGTTTGCCTGGAGTCCACCTGCACCCGTGCGCTGCCATGTGTTCCTAAGGGACCGGATATGACCATGGGTGGTTCCTGCTTTATACCCTCTTCCCGTGGGGCGGGCGAGGGGCTGACACAGCCCTCCCTCCACGTACGTTTGCGCTTAGAATTCCGTGCGTCCTTCCCGGTGCTCCGGTCTGCGGCATCCTGCTGTGTTAGTGCACAGGTAGGGAGACCAGGTCGCGTGCGAATACTGAAGGGCTTCACAGGCGCAATTCGTGAATTAAATGAGGTTAGTAAGATTCCAGGGGGAAATTGCAAAACCGATAGTTTCTTTTATACACTCACAGGTTCTAAATTGCTGTGAGGAAGACGAGGGAGGGTGCGCGGAGCCCACCAGGTGCGGGCGCTGGTCCCCGCCCAGCCGCCCACCTCCTGCTCGCCACGCCGCCTGGCTTTTCCCATTCCCGCTCGCTTCCTTCCAGTGCCCTTAGCGTGTGCGTGAAGTCCGTTCCCCTTCAGGCCCCGTCCCCGCCTCTTCCTCGGCTCCTGGAGGCCAAGAGGCTCGAGGAGGTCAGGCAGCTTCCCGGGTTCCTGGTGTGAGGGTGCCGCAGGCTGGAGGCCGCGCATGGACTGCCCAGCAGGCTCTGCTGCTGCTGTGGCAGCTCCTGTGGACTGTCCCCCCACCCGTCCCCAGCACCCCAGCCTGCCGGGGGCCTCTGAGCATTTCCCTGGACACGGATCCACTTTGTGCAGCTGCCCGCTCACGGCGGTCTCCCGTGGTGTCACGGCGGGGCCTGGCCGCGCGTGCTGTGCGGCGGCCTCCTCGGGAGCCTGCAGGCGGGGCCCTGGCGCCGTGGCCGTTGCTCGCACACGAGGTCCTCCACGGAGGCTGTGCCAGGGAGTCACGTTCCTGCCCCGGAACCTGTGGGCACTTTGAAGAGAGCAGCGTTTGTTTCATTTCCTAAATGAATTCACAGTTGGGAGAAAAATGTGTCTTAGATTCTCCTTGACTCCTTCGGGACGTCCACTTAGAAAGCAGTTTTCCGGTTCCTTTCCCGGCCAGGCACATCCAGTTTCTATCCCCGTCGGGGCATGTACAGAAGGCAGCCAAGATACACTTCTCTCTCCCTCCCACCCTCCCTCCCTTCCTTTCTCTGAGCATGTCATTGGGGGAGGATTAAAAAAAAAAATCACATTTAGAAAAAATAAATGAAAATGTACACACATGCAAATGTATGCCTAGTGCTTGTCAGTGGCTTTTAAAGTCTCGGGTCTCTGAGCTGTGTCTGAAAACAACACACTTTTGCCCTCCGCGGGTTTTATTTTATACCAGGTTCGCTCTGTCCTCTGGCAGGAGATGGGAGAGATTTAGAAATGGGGCTTCCCCTGTACATTTCATCGCCGTCAACCTGCGCTTCTCAACCGCTTCCCTTCCTGCTTGCCTCAGGCCGTGGCCTCTGGCTGCTGACAGGTGTTCTAGATGCTTCGCTCCTTCCCCTGGGCTAGGAGGATGAGGGCCAGGAGTCTGGATTCTGGGGCTGCCGTGTCCAGAGATTCGAGCGTTAGCATCACTCCTTCCCGAGAGCCCCGATGTCCTGTTTCCCACCCCGCACCGTCCAGCTCTGTCTCCATGTGACCCTGCAGGCCCAGTGCCCACCTGCCCCTCACAGATGCCTTTTGGTGACATTTCTGACCGGCGGCTCTGGCACCTCCAGCTTCCTTCCCAGGTCATCATCCACACAGCCCCGGCCCCTAAGGAAGGCGGCGGTCTTGCTCCATGGGCCCCGGGCTCCAGGCGCCGGGCTCCTGGCGGGCGGACTGTGGTCGGAGCCCCGTGCGCCGCTCCCCCTGCGGGCAGCAGTCACGGCGGGGCCTGCGTGGGGCCAGCGCGCTTCCAGGTCCCGTGCTGGGGCCTCACAGCGGTTCCTTCCGGGACTTTCTGAGGGTGTGCGTCCTCTGGGGCGTCGTTTTTATGATAAAACTCAATATACAGAGCGGGCAGAGGTAGGTTTACAGGTGTGAGTCGGCGAAACAGAGTTGTTGTTTTTTTTAAATATATTTTATTGATTTTTTTTACGGAGAGGAAGGGGGATGGATAGAGAAGTTAGAAACATCGATCAGCTGCCTCCTGCACACCCCGTACTGGGGATGTGCCCGCAGCCAAGGTACATGCCCTTGACCGGAATCGAACCTGGGACCCCTGAGTCTGCAGGCCGACGCTATCCACTGAGCCAAACCGGTTAGGGCCAGAGTTTATTCTTGTATTAATTATTGCATTATTTTCTATACAAACAACTGTAACCCACCTTTGCCCATCTGCTCCTGGGCCCTGCATGTGTCTTAACGCACCTTCTCCCCGCAGGTGCTCTGACCAAGGTGAAGGAGAGCCGGCGGCACGTGGAGGAGGGGAAGATGGAGGCGCAGAAGGCCGAGGGCATCCAGGCCCGCTGCAACACCATCTCCTTCGCCACGCTGGCCGAGATCCACCACTTCCACCAGGTCCGCGTGCGCGACTTCAGGTCCCAGATGCAGCACTTCCTGCAGCAGCAGATCATATTTTTCCAGAAAGTGACGCAGAAGCTGGAGGAGGCTCTTCACAAGTACGACAGCGTCTAGTGCCGGGCGCGCGTGGGGCGCTCCAGTTCCAGGGTGATTTCCGCAGCGGAGCACAGACGGCTCAGCTGCCGCCGCTCCCGTGGGCACAGGCCGCTCTGTGCCCGCAGCCGGGCTGGCTGTGTGCTGGCGCGGCGGTGCCGCATCGTAGCTAAGTTACACTATGCGCGCCTACACTACCACGTAGCGGGGATACGATTCTACTCTTTGCCTTATTGCTTTCTGGAGGATGGGTCTTCAGTGCAGACTTGGCAGACCTCAGAGCCCTGCGGGGTCTCGGGGCGCCCGGGCCAGCCTGCCCCATGCCTTTCCCGCCCACAGACTGGGGTCCCCGAAATTCAGCCTGTTCTCTGTTTACAAACTCCGACGAGAGCAGCTGTGCGACTTCGTGCCTTTAGACTCGGGTTTTCATTTCCCCGCCCCTTTATAAAGTAACACGACTTTTTGATCGAAAGAGCGAAAGGCCAGTGCGTCCAGGGACGGCCTGCTAGTGACCGCACGAGGCGCTGGGCGGGCGGGCGGGCGGGAGGGTCAGCTGGCACCGGCCGCCGTGTGAGCGCGGCAGAGGGGCTGTGCTCCTCCGGGACTTGCGGGCCTTTGGGGAGGCGATGGGGCACTCTGCTCCCTTAGGAGCTCCGTGTGGCCTCCCTCCCGCGTCCTGGAGGCCTGTGTGCGGGGCACACGCACCCGCTCACCACGGAGGCAGGGGCCGGCCCGCGGGACAAGCACAGATTCGGTGAGGACACGCTTGGCTCTGCCTAGGAGGGTTTCTTTTCTTTCCTTTGTAGCTTGAAGATTTCTTTTCCTGTTCAGTGTGATTTTTTTAATGGATCTACACTGTTAACCGATCGAGACTCCACTGTGATTCACTCACTCGTTTACTTAATCGACCACTTTTCAGGGATGTCTGTAAATTCAGTGTTACACGTGATGCAAATAGCGTTGATCTGAGGAGGGACCAGAAGTAATTCTATTCCAGATGCTGAAAGCCAGAAGAATTGTTATTTTTAAGTACTGATAAGCCCCAGGACAGTTAACATTAAAAATTACCGTAAATATATTCTTTTAAAGAAAATACAAAGGCTGACGCATACCAAAAAGATTCCCAAGCAGCTTCCTTTAAAAAAGCACAAAGATTCTGGCTGGAAGCGCCCGGATCTCCATGTTTCTCGTCCTTGCTGAGCTCAGTAACGCGTGGCTGCATTCGGAGATGCGACTGTCCCTGACGGTGGCGGCACCTGCTGCTTGAGGGAGGGAGGCTTACGCGGCCACGGGAGCCCTGCGCGCCAGCGTGGGGCAGAGCAGAGGCCAGTGGGGAGTGCTGGTGCGCCGCGCTGGTTAGGGAAGGGCAGTTATCGACGCAATTACTCCACAGCACAGTTCCTCGAGAGGATCTCGCATGGGCAGGGCTTCTAAGACCGGGGTCTCCTGACTCACCAACACTGTTCCTTAGGTTGTCTCCTGGGACGTGGGGCTGTGACCAAACTCATTGTTCTCTCAGGAGTGACTTCCTCTCATTGATGGCAAAATACAGTTTGATAAGCAAAACCCATGTGTGTATAAATGTTAATTTTATGGCAGACGTTTGGAGATTATAATTCTAGCATTTGCTCTACGTTTGGGTCTGTATTGAGCAAATATGCACTATGCTTTCAAATGATTTGAAAACCCGTTTTCTTTGCCTCTTTATTTTGATGGTGGTTTGATCTTCTTTTTAAAATCACTAAACTCCTGCTCTGGCAGCCTGGACGTGACCTGAGGGGTCTCAGAGGCTTGTGCTTGGGCCACGGTGGGCAGGGCGTCGATGATACGGATAAAGATGGAGGCACCGAGTGCACGCTCACGCCGCCGCCTGGAGGACTGCTGTGCTTCATGGCGACCGCACCCCGAGCCGCTGGTCCTCGGCGGCTTCAGGTAACTCTCTGCGCTCGGACCCCGGGGTTCCCGTGCTCATTTCCACCCGAGTCTTCACTTCTCTAACGTTCTTGGTCCTGTTGAAACATTTCAGTATAAAAGATACTGCGATGTGAATACCCAAGAGAAAAACCATCATAATGTGTACGCTGGTCATGAAGATCAGTGTGGTACCGCTTTTTAAAATAAACTATCATGCCCTTCATGCCACTGTTTGTCTTTATTTCTGTAATTAATGATTCTGATATGGATTTATAACATGAGGGCATCCGCTTCAGCCTGGGTTTCTATTTAATTGCAGATGGAGTTGTTTCTACACGGCAACTCTAGTGCCACGGGCTGTTCAACAGCCACAGGGTCACAGCCACAGCCACGGGTCACAGCTACAGTCACAGGGTCACAGCCACAGGGTCACAGCCACAGGGTCACAGCCACAGGGTCACAGCCACAGCCACGGGTCACAGCCACAGCCACAGGTCACAGCTACAGCCACGGGTCACAGCCACAGCCACGGGTCACAGCTACAGCCACGGGTCACAGCCACAGCCACGGGTCACAGCTACAGCCACGGGTCACAGCTACAGCCACGGGTCACAGCTACAGCCACGGGTCACAGCCACAGTCACAGGGTCACAGCCACAGGGTCACAGCCACAGGTCACAGCTACAGCCACAGGTCACAGCTACAGTCACAGCCACAGCCGCAGGGTCACAGCCACAGCCACAGGGTCACAGCCACAGGGTCACAGCCACAGGGTCACAGCCACAGTCATAGCTACAGTCACAGCTACAGCCACGGGTCACAGCCACAGCCGCAGGGTCACAGCCACAGCCAGCCACAGGGTCACAGCCACAGCCAGGGTCACGAGCTCAGATTGTTTCTGTTCACAGTCGATCACGAGTTCATCACCGCCTGTGCTTTCCCAGCTGTGAAATGGGCACTTGAGGCTGGGACAGGTGGAGTGGGCAGCACAGGGCTCTGACCTCAGCCACACGGACATTTCCCAGTGACGGCCGCATGCTCACTGCAGAGCCCAGCTCAGTGCCTCTCGTGGCCGGTGGCGCAGCCCCGCCCCAAGTCAAAACATTCTTGTGGACCGAGTGGCCGACACAGCTTGGTGGTCCTGCTTTGGGTCAATGGAATGGTCTAGAAAATGCGGTGTTCGATTCAATGGTTCCCTCGGGGAGAAAAATGCTTTAAAAACTGGAGGAGTTTCGGGTTTGGCGAGTTCGGTCCAGCTGACCCTGACGGTGTTCCCGAGAATCGGCTGGTGTTCGGAGCCTGTGGTTCGGTCACTTGTCTCCTGGCCCTGCCGGTGAGCGAACGCCCCCGTGAGCCGCAGGAGGGCTGGGTGCCCGCGTGTGGCCAGGACCCGCGGCACCTGCGTGAGGCCAGCGCGTCTGTGGGCCTGTGGGCCTCACCTGAGCCAGGGCACCTGCCGGGGGAGCAAGCCATGTCCTGGAGAAGGGCCGTCCCTGACACACGGGCTGTCCCACGGCCCGTTCCAGAACCCGGGAGGAACTGTGAGCGGAGGAGCTGCTGCTGGCGGGCGGTCTCCTGGCGAATGGAGTCGCACAGGTACCTGGCGGGGTACACAGCATCGCGCCAGTCACTGCTAGAACAGCAGGCGAGGAAGCTCTACACATGCACGAGGGAGTTTCCCCAAGAAAATACAGGGAAAAAAGGGCAGAGCAGTGTTACTGCTGTCCTTTCAGTGAAAGCTTAGAAGGTGAATGCGTGTGTGCGCACAGACTGACAGTCGGCAACCAGGTAACAGTGCACTGGGGTCCGGGGGCCAGGTGGGTGGGAGGGAGGGAGGTTTTCATTGTTTACCTGCTTATATCTTTGAATTCCAATGATTGAATGTATTTTCTATTTTAAAAATAAAGATACATTTTAAAACAGGGAGACAAGAAAAAAAAAAAAGAACTTTAAAAGGAGGGTTGCCCAGCCAGCTTGGCTCAGTAGCTGAGGGTCAACCTATGAACTAAGAGGTCAGGGTTCAATTCCCGGTCAGGAAACTTGCCCAGGTTGCGGGCTCGATCCCCAGCGTGGGGCGTGCGGGAGGCAGCCGGTCAGTGATTCTCATCATTGATGTTTCCATCTCCCTCTCCCTCTCCCTTCCTCTCTGAAGTTAATAACCATGTATATATACACACACACATACCGATATCTATCTACCTACCTATCATCTATCTGTAACAGTGACCTGTTAAATATAAACGATTAAAATGAACCACAGCGTGGGTTTCGTTCGTTAGGGCCTGGGCCTTGAAAGAGCCAGAGGGACTCCGGGACGGTCCCCGGACCCGGCCCTGAGACTCGGGGCAAATCCCTCACCCTCTCCTGCCAGGAAGGCTTTATGGCTCCTTATGAAGATGGGGAACAGGTCCAGGACCATGGAAAAGCTGCGTCTACAAGGGCTGTGCAGCACTTGGCAGTTCACTGGCCGCTTCGTGTGCCGCCACCCACACACCGTATTGGACATCGTGCCAACTGACCTGGGCAAGCCCTTCGGGGCGGCCCCCCACTCTCCTCCGCTGGCCGAACCCCACTTCTCTGGGCCAGGGTTCGGCCGTGCCTGCCGCCGGCGGCCCCCCACTCTCCTCCGCTGGCCGAACCCCACTCCTCCTCTGGGCCCGGGTTCAGCCGTGCCCGCCGCCCGCGGCCCTGCATTTTTTGCACTTAGTGCAGTTCTCGCTTCTCCTCCAGCCCGTCGGCTTCTTTTCTGTGTTTCCCAGGGTTTAGGCAGCGCTGGGCATATTTATAGGCTGACGGTCTGAACGAGGTCAGAGCGGGTGACTCAGAAGTCCCGCCGGCTTGTGTGGTGTTGTGTTTGCTGTGCAAATACCAGCAGATGAACTGGAATGTCTTTGCTGTTTTCCTCTCCTGTTTTCAATTGGTGGGCAGGCCCTGGCCGAAAGCAGGCCGCTCGGTGCCTCCCGGTTCTCCTCGGCGAAAGCCTGGCGTCAGCGCCGTGGAAACCGGTGTGCCATCGGGCTCCCTGTGGGCTCGGGCTGGTACTTAGTGTCCCAGCGACGGGGGGAGCCTCTTCAGTCACTGTGTTGCTTCCTATCATCATTGCACAAAGTGTCACTTACTCGGTGGCTGGAAACCACAGATTTCTTGCCTTCAGTTCCGGGAGGCAGAGCCCAGAATAGAGTTCATTGAGCTAATTCTGGGTGCGCCAGGCTGCGCTCCTCCCGGGAGATGGCGGGGAGAGTCCTTCCACTTGCCTTTCCCAGCTTCCCAGGGCCCTCCATCCTCACGTCAGCAGCGGTGGTGGCATCGTCCCCACACCAGCACCGAGGCACGTCCACGTGACTCTCCTGCCCTCCTCGTCCACCTTGAACGGCCTTGGGGTTACAGTGGGCCGACCTGGTAGAATCGGGGAGCATCTTCCATTGAGGTCAGCTGAGCAGCAGCCTCCGTCCCACCTGCAGCCTTCAGTACCCGGCTGTGCCCCCATGTAAACTGATGCAAGGACACCGCTTCTTCACTGGACTGTACAGCCTGCTGACATGCACTGGCCTCTGCAGCTGAGTTTATCTTACTAATATTAGGATTTTATCTCCCTCTTTCCATCCCTCCCTCCTTCCTCATTCTTTCAATAGCACTGTGGGTGGCACCGAGCAGCCACCCCGCTGAGGTGAGCTGTAATTAAATTCGCCCCCCACCCCCACCCTGATCTCACCGAGAGGGCTGGGCAGGGCCTGTGAGGACAGAGGGCGGCCCGCCCTTCCTCTGACTGCCCGTGGTGACATCACTGGCAGAGTCATTTCCTGCGGGGCCTTATCTCCATGCTGACGCCGTGGATGCTGGGACTTGCTTTAGCTGTGCTGGGATTCGGGAATCAAACCGGCACCGCTTCCTACTGGGTTTATACGAGGTCCCGTCCAGGTCCTGGGCTGGTCTGATGTGCACGGTGCCGGCGACGTCCAGCGAGCGCGGCGCGTTGCTGGCGGCCACGGCCGGGCGTGTATTCCCAGCCGCAGACTGGCCGAGGGTTTGGAAGGAGTCAAGCCTGACTCGTCCTCGCGTGGAGGTGTGACACTCGGGAAGGACGGCTGTTGAAATTAGCGAAGTCGCCCATGCGCCTCCTGTCGTGTTTTTAATATAGTTTTTTATTGATTTCAGAGAGAAACGGAGAGGGAGACAGAAACATCAACGATGAGAGGGACTCATGGGTCGGCTGCCTCCTGCACGCCCCCCACTGGGGATCGAGCCCACAACCTGGGCCTGTGCCCTGACCGGGAATCGAACCGTGACCTCCTGGCTCAGGGGCCGACGCTCACCCCTGAGCCGCGCTGGCCGGGCCCACGTGGCTCCCTGAAGGTGTGCTGTGCCGAGAGGGCTGATGGAAGCGCTGGACTCACCTTCTTATTTCGGCCAGAGACCCCGGAGCTGCCTGTCCCAGAGGGAGGCCGAGGCCCCAGGGACAAGTCGTGTGTGTGAAGGTGGGACCGGCCAGCGTGGTCCCTTGGGGTCCCCATCCCACGGGAGAGGGGCTCCCGAATCTGTGCCCGTGCGGGGGACCGGCTGGAGGTTGAGGGGCCACCAGCACGGGGACCTGAGACGCCCCGTTTAGTCACCTGTGACTGCCCCCCGGGGATGGGCCTGTCTGAGTCGCTCTGGGGGAGCAGCCTTCACCGAAAGCCGCCTCCCGGCCCTTCTCATCACGCGTGTCCCTTCTCCTCCCACGCGTGCGGCGGCCAGAGCCGAGACGGCGCTTTCCATGCAGAGCCTGAGCGCAAGGGGCCTTGAGACCGAGCCGACTGTTAAATAGAACGTGTGTCCTTCGCTCCCTTATCAGCAGGAAGCAGCGGGGTAGGAACCAGGCGAGGCCGCAACTTTAAAATCCGCGTTTCTCTCTCAGGCCCCCGACCTCATGTGATGGCCGGGGCGGGAACAGTCTGCCCTCCGTCCAGCAGTTTCACCTGGTCCCCGGGCAGCGCTGTGGGCGGGCACACGTGCCAGGGCTCCGTGCTGACGGACGGGCACCAGGGCAGGTGTGTGCCCAGCGGCCACGGCAGGAGGTGAGGCGGGACTTAGCCCAGAGCCTGCTTCTCAGCCACCGGGTCCTTTGTCGTCTCTGCCTCGTCTTCTAGAATCTTCCGAATGTGGAGGCAGAGAGTGTGAGGATGTTGGTTGAGCTATTCCTCATGCCACGTGAGAACAGTGGTGACGAGAAAGGTTCCGTCTCTGCCCCACGTTCTTCGCATGTGACCTTGGACTCCGCCCCACCTCCCGTGACCCACGGGGAGCAGCTGGGCCCAGGTCCGGGCGCGGGCCGCCCCGGGAGGGAAGCGTCTGCGGGTGGATGTGGGTCCTGGTTGGAGCTTCTGTGTGCGGAGCCCTCTCCTCCTCCTGTTCTGTTTGCTTTTAGTTTCCCTGGAAACGTGCGCCTCACGCTTAGCTCACCCTGGGCTCCGTCCTGACATCTTCTGTGGAAGTGACAGCGCTGTTCTCCCCCCTGGCCTCTGCTTCTCCCCGCCTCCCGGTGTCCAGCGCGACCCTCGGGAGCCCGGCCCCGTGTCAGGCCCGGCCGGCGCCTGTGCCCGTGGCAGGGCGTGTGGCTGACCTTGGAAGGACCGGCTGTGCTGCGGTGACACACAGTTAGCGGAGACACTCACGGTGTGTGCCCCCGCCCAGGCCTCGAGGACACCCCCTGCTGTCCTGTCCGCCCCCCCCCCCCCCGCCTGCCCCCAGGCCCAGAGGAGCTGTGGCTGCGAGTGATGTGTGAGCTGCTGTCCCGGCAGAGGCCTCAGCCACCCTCCCACCCCAGTGCTTTATGCCTGTCGCTGCGAACACAGCCACCCTGTTCCAGGGAACCTTCTCATCTACGTGAGAAGCAGCGTCTTTCTTCCCGACTTCGTAAGGAATATGAGCTCCTTGTGAAGAATTCAGAAAACACAGCAAGGTCTAAGGAAGAGGGAGTCTTAGTGGCTGAGCACCGACCTATGTGGCTCAGTGGCTGAGTGCCGACCTATGACCAGGAGGTCACGGTTCGGTTCCCGGTTGGGGCACTCGCTTGGTTATGGGCGCGATCCCTGGTGGGTGGCGTGCAGGAGGCAGCCGGACCATGATTCTCTCCCATTGATGTTTCTCTCTCTCCCTCTCCATCTCTGAAATCAATAAAAAAGTAAAAATAAATAAAAAGGGAAATGAGAAAACCCATGTCAGGATCTGGGAGAGGCTGGGGATGCTTCTGGAACCCTATCAGAACCTCCCCCTCCCCACCCACTGCTCTGAGCCCCTGGGAGAAGCCCCAGAGGGACGAACTCTGGGATGCGGGTCAGGCCTCGGGTCAGCAGCTCAGGGGACACAGAGGGGCTTTGGCCTTCGGGGGCCGGGCAGCACTTGGTCTGACCGAGTCCACAGTGGAGCCCGGAGAACAAGCCACGAGCCGGTCGCAGGGACAGCGTGGGGCGGGGCCAGGTCAGGACAGGGCGTCCTTCCTCAGCTACGACTTCTGAGCTAGATCGAGGGGAAGGGATGCGAGAGACCCCAGCAGGTGTTGGGACGGAGTGGGGACCCCTGAGAGCGGGGGCGTGGCCTCCCTGCAGGCGCGTGAGAAAGGGGGGCCACGCTCGGGACCGGCCAGGAGGAAGGCGGCACACGGCGCTCCTGGCTTCTTCCGTCCGCTCCCGGGCGTGTGCTCAGGAACGAGGAAGTGGCCGAGGGCACACGGTCCTGGCTCTGCCCGGACTTGGAGCCACGGAGGGAGTCGTCAGGTCAGGGCCCGCCTGCCGCGGAGAGAAGCAGCCACCCACGGGCCCACCCACAGGCAGGCTGGGCTGCCCGGACCACACCCGGGGCCCGCGTGCTCCCCGCGGGCCGCGAGGACGGCTCTTGGCGGGGAGAGGGCCTGGTGGCGGCGGGAGGTTCTGGCACATCCAGGAGCTGCTGCTGCTGCTGTCAGGTGAGCCCGTGACGGCACCTGGTCACCGGCCCCTGCTCCAGGCTGACGGCTTCGTGGCTGTGAGCAGCATGTCAGCTGCAGGTGACGCCTGAACCCGCCAGCTCCGGGCCAGGCCGCCCGGGGAGAAGGAGACCCACCTCCTCTGAGGGAGGCGTTTCCCTCCTGGAACCCGGGCAGGAGGTAGGACCTGTGCCGTGTCCACAGCTCCTGGGCCGGAGACGCCGGCCTTTCCTCCTTGTCCCGGCCCTGCAGCCGAGGCCAGGCCGGTCCCAGCGCCTGCCTCCTGGTGCAGCCACTCAGCCCCTGCTGAGCCACCCAGTCCTCCCGCTGCCCTGAAGGCGGCACCCCAGGCGGGCAGGCGGCAGGGCCTGAAGCTGCTGCGGGGGGGGGGGGGGGGGGGGTGGCAGGGGGAGGAGCGCGGGGACCAGAGCAGGACCCCTGGCCCAGATGCATCCCTGCTGTCCCTGCTCTGCTCCTGCGCGATGTCCCTGGACCCTTGGACTCTGGCCCTCACTTCCAGCCTCAGAGGGTTCCATCTCCCGCAGCTGAACGCCCTTCTTTGTGACGATCCCTCGTGGGCGAGGCGGGCGCTGGGGGGGAGGAAGGACTGGCACCAGGGAGCTACTTGGTCCTTTCGAAGTCACCGCCCATAGTTTTTGTTTCTGTTTTTTTTTTTTTAAATATATTTTTATTAATTTCAGAGAGCAAGGGAGAGGGAGAGAGAGATAGAAGCAACCATGATGAGAGAGAATCACTGATTGGCTGCCTCCTGCATGCCCCACACACCGGTGACTGAGCCCATAACCCGGGCATGTGCCCCAACTGGGAACTGAACCGTGACCTCCTGGTTTATAGGTCGACCTCAACCCCCGAGCCACGCTGGCCGGCACCGTATCGTTTCAGCAGGTAATTGTTTGTTAGTCACAGTCGGCTCCCTTCGCTCTCTAACTAGACTGAGCGTGCCCCGAGGTCGAGCACCGTGCCCATAGGCACGCCCTCACAGGCCGGGGATCGTAGCAGACCTGTGTGCCAGCCATTACATGTGTACATTTAAGTTAAATAGCAAAGAAAGTGGGTACAGGACCAGGAGCCAGTCTAGTCTATGTGCTTTCATGAATGCAGCTTTCATGGGTGCGCCCGCAGCTGCCCTGTGTCAGCAGCTGGTTTATGTGAATCCATCGGGTGGGGGTGGGGGGCGGGGCGAGAGGCTTACACTTGCAGAGTCGGAGAAACTGGGAGGGTTCAAGCTTCGGGAAACCACCCTGTAAGGTGATCAGGGGGAGTCGGGGGGCAGGCGGCGGAGGCAGTGCACTGTGGGGCCCCGGGAGAATCCCAGAGCCTAGTGCCGGGGCGGGGACACCTGCAGGGAATGTCCCGGTCTGTCCCGGGCACCCCGGGCCTGGGAGGGGGTGGCTGCGGGAAGATTGCAAAGTGAATTTTCCTCCCTTTCAGGGAACTTACAAAACAACGACCACACAGTCATTTTTAAAGACAAGAGTTGAACGAAAGCAACATATTTTCCTGAGGAACAAGGTATGCTTTTGCCTTTGCCAGGCGGACCCCGAAGCCGTGCCGGTATTGCGTCTGCCGTCCACACGCAGACACGGTTAGTCATTAATGCGCCCACAGCCTGGCTCCGGTTACTCGGGCTGGAGCACCCGCGGTTCCAGGGTGGCGTGTGTCCGGCGGAGACCAGGAAACGGGCCCAGGGCAGCTCTGCCAAGTCCGGCCTCAGCACCTACCGGGCGGCCAGCGTGGGGTCACAGGTGTGAGCGTGCGAGACGCGGAGTTTATTCTCGTGTTATTATTGATTAGTTATTATTTTCCATACGAACATCAGAGTGCCCCGCCCATGAGCACAGGCCATGCCCACGTGCCTGTCGCCCAGGGCAGAGCCTGGCAGCGCGAAAGCCGTGGAGATGTTTAGACGAGGGAGGTGCAGAGTTGGAGGATCACGGAGCCTCCAGTCAGAGTTGGAAGCTGGGACCTGGGCAGGGGCCTCCAGTGCAGCAGGGAGGAGGCAGCCGGTGGGGGTGGGGTGGGGATGGGGGTGAGGCTGGGTGGGGTGGGGGTGGCAGTGGGGTGGGGTGGGATAAGGGTAGGAAGGTGCTCACAGTTTGGTGGCCTTGGGAACCTGCGAGTGTCGGGATTCTAGAGGTTTTCCTCTGCTCCTTTGCCGCAAACACCGATGGCTGAGATCAATAGGTTCCTAATAGCCAGAGAGGCCAGCATGATGCAGGGAGAAAATCCATAGACATGGTTCCAGGTGCCAGATGGGTGTTTTTACTTGAGTTTTGCTATTTCCATTTAATAACCCATCATTACACATAAAATGCTATCTGTACTGTGTGTATAATTTATTATATATGACTAGAGGCACGGTGCATGGATTCATGCACCAGTGGGGCCCCTTGGCCTGGCCTGCGGGGATTGGGCCGAAACCAGCAGTCTGACATCCCTTGAGGGGTCCTGGATTGTGAGAGGGCGCAGGCCAGGCCGAGGGACCCCACTGGTGCACGAATCTGTGCTCCGGGCCTCTAGTATGCATGTAAGATCTTTGGTTAATCTCTTCCCGCCCTCTCCCCTCCCCGCTTCCCTCTGAGATTCATCAGCCTGCTCCATGTTTCCATGCCTGTGCGTTGAGCGTCTGCCCCCCGGTGGTCAGTGTGCATCATAGCTACCGGTCGAACGGTCAGATGGCTGCTTAGGCTTTTACATATATAGATAGAGTGGTGCAATCCATGACTTACCTGTGTATGGCTTGTGTAATCAGAATTACCAGGCTCAGAGCTATATGAAATCATTTCAGTTTTTAATCCAATGAAGTTTGAAGAAGTCTTGGGATGCCAGGACTTACATTTTATTGGAACCTAAGATGAGAATTCTATGTGTGTGTGTTTCAAGTCAAGCCCAGCCAGCGTGCCTCAGTTCCCAGAGGCCCAGGATGTAGCTTAACAGACTTTACAGCGGTTTGTCCTCCCTCTAGTCCTGGTTCTGGCAAGTTCTGGAATCCAGAAACCAGAGGGAAAGGGGTAAGAGAAAAGGGGAGTCAGAGACGCCCAGAAGGCAGCTGCCAAGTGGGCCCGTTGGGCATTTTTCTTTGCTCGTTGCAAAACCAGAGAAAAGGCCTCCATTTCTACTAACCCATAATCATCGGTCAACTCTACAGACTGCCGCTGAGAGAACACGTACCAGCGAGGCCCGGGATTCCTCCGGCCAGCGGGGTGGACGGAGCGCCCGCGGTGCGCCGAGTGCTGGGTGCCCGGACGCGTGCGCCTGAGCCCGCCCTCAGGAGCCTGCAGGGAGACCAGGGGGCGAGGAAGGACGGGAACCAGTACGGGCACCCACTCCACCCGTCATTTACAGAGACGGCGGGTGTCCACCACGTGCCGGGCACTGGTCTCGGGGCCGGTGCAGGATGGAAAAGACAGGTGCGTCCCTGTTGTCAGGCAGGTTCATTCTAAAGATGAATGTCTGCCCCACGCTGGCCGCCCCACTGTTGAGGGGGGACTTGGGGAGGGCCGGGGCCGGGCCGGATGGGCAGTCGGCTCGATTCGCAGGCACTCAGCCCTGGTCTCCCTCTCACCCTGAAGGGCCCCACAGGCCTCATCCCTAACTCAATCATTGAAATTGATGTTTTTACTGAGATAATTCTAGGTTCACAGGCAGTTTTGAGAATTACTATAGAGAGATCCTATGTACCCACTCCCCAGCTTCCCCCGCGGCAACAATTTTTTCTTAAAGTTTTTAAAATGTGATTTACTGATTTTAGAGAGAGAAGAAGGGGGGAGAAAGAGAGAGAGAGATTAGTTGTTCCACTTACTCGTGCATTCATTGGTTGATTCTTGTATGTGCCCTGGCCGGGCTCGAACCCACAGCCGTGGTGTATCGGACGACGCTCTAACCGCGAGCCGCCTGGCCAGGGCCCCTGGCAGTAACACTGTGCAACCCTGAAGTGCACTCTCCCCATAGGACACTGGCGGGGATGCAGTCCCTCCGTGGTTTCCAACTCCCCGCTGTCGCTTGCACTTGCACTCACGTGTGTGTGCCAAGTTCTACGCCGTGTTGTCACCTGCGTAGGTTCGGGCATTCACCGCCTCAGTCAGGGTCCCGACAGTCCCGACACGCGACCATCCGGCGTGCTGCCGACCGGGACCACCTGCCTCCCGCTCCCCCTCCCCCACCCCACCCCTGGCGACCACTCAGACATGCTCTCCGTTTCTAAAACCGCGTCATTTCCAAGATGTCGTATAAATGCCATCATGGGGTATGCATCGCTCTGAGATGGCCCTTGCTCGCCGCATGGGATAGAGTCTGACCGAATTTTCTGATGTGTGCTGACGGCTGCTCAGCCACCGCCTCCCTCCTCCCCCCCTCCCCCCCCAGGCAAGCTGATAGGATGCCCACGTGCTCCTTCCAGGAGCACTGGCCTGGCCGGAGTTCACACTGTGTCCCACCCACCACCCCAGTGAAGCCAGGCCAGCCCCCTTGCCTCGCTCTCTCAGCCACTTGGGGGCCTGTGGGGGAGGCCTGCCTGCTGTCCCCTGAATACAATATTAAGTGAGAAATAAAATAAAGGGGACAACTCAGACCAGCGTCAGAGCAGTGAGAAAGCAGGGAAAGCCCTCCTGTGAGATCTGGAGTTTGTTTTCTAAGGGGAGGGGCTTCGTGAGCTAGGAATGTCGGTGGGGAAGTTTCTGGGCGGGTCTTCATGGAAACTGCTGATGGGGCCCATGCAGTTTCCTTAGAAACCGCAGACCCGTGGCCAAGGGCAGTGAGGTTAAACGAATGCTGACTGGGAGGGTGGAGGCAGCCACCAGCCCGTTGGCCACTGTGGTTACCAAAGCTCAGGCTGTGACTTACTCTCAGACACACAGGACAGGGCAGGGAGAGCCTCAGAGGGGAAGCTGGGTCCCTGCCGGTTCCCTGCTGGGTCTGATGAGCCCGTGAGCAGAGAGGAGCCGTGGGGGGTTTCGTCGGGTGGGAGCTCGGGGCTCACCTTCTAGATTTTAGAGTGAGACTCAGGGCACAGGGTCAGTGATCGCTGACCTCTGGGTATACAGTAAGATGAAGTACATCTTCTATAACAGGCCTTCTTTCCAAGAAGTCACAGAGACAGGAACAGGAGGATAAAGACTTAAAAGACACAGGCACTAAAGATACAGTTAGATGCCCAGACGACATAAAGATGCTTACATTATTGTTTAAGCAAGTGATTCCTGATCACAGACGGCACATTACAGTCATCGCTCACCCAGACGCAGGCACTCCACCTGGGACCCTTTCTCCAGGAGCAGGGGCGGGGGTGTCCTTCAGTCTCCCACCTCCGTCACGGACAGGACAGCGCCATCAGCCCAGGACACAGATGTCCCGCCTCCGTCATGGATGGTGCTATCAGCCCAGGACACAGATGTCCCGCCTCCGTCACGGACAGGACAGCGCCATCAGCCCAGGACACAGATGTCCCGCCTCCGTCACGGACAGGACAGCACTATCAGCCCAGGACACAGATGTCCCGCCTCCGTCACGGACAGGACAGCGCCATCAGCCCAGGACACAGATGTCGCCCTCACAGCAGTGACTGCAGAGTCACTGTGTGCAGCAGGTGAGCATGGGCGAGGCAGCGGAGACAGTGCGGTGGCCCAGGGCGGTGTCCACAGAGCTGCTGTCACCTCCTGGCCTGGGGCTTGGAAGGGCAGAGAGGGTAGAGCCTTTGGGGAAGGTGTCATCTTCAATGGAGGGGCAGGGGCACGGGCAGCCCAAGGTGACCCTGAGGAAAGAGCCAGGGGGATAAGTACATGTTGAAGGGAGAATATGCTCCCCCTGACCCCCAAACGATGCCTCTTTGCCATAGGGCTGTTTGGAGCTGATTATTTGTGGGAAACAGCGGACATAGATGCTCTGAAAACAGAGTTTCCCTTTCGTTATGGACATTTGCGTCTGTGTGGGAACACACTGTTGTAAGGTGACTCCCGCTGCCCCTGACGGCGGGTGACTAATTCACAAGGGAACTTCCTCGAATCTGCAGGACAAACCTTACCCTCTTGACCTTGCCTTTCCTGCTAACGGCCCCATCACTGGCCTCCACCCACACGTGTTGTTTTTTGTTGTTGTTTTTCTTTAGCTGAAGATGAAATTTTTTTTTTTTTTTAAATATATTTTATTGATTTTTCACAGAGAGGAAGGGAGAGAGATAGAGAGAGTTAGAAACATCGATGAGAGAGAAACATCGATCAGCTGCCTCCTGCACATCCCCCACCGGGGATGTGCTCGCAACCCAGGTACATGCCCTTGACCGGAATCGAACCCGGGACCTCTCAGTCCGCAGGCCGACGCTCTATCCACTGAGCCAAACCGGTTTCGGCTGAAGATGAAATTTAAGCTGGAGTTCTAAGCCACCGTGCAGAGTTACTACTTTTTCACTGGGTATCACCCATGTATGTGTGATATATGCATGCTAATCCACTTCTGTTCATTTTTTTTCTCTGGATCCGTCTTCTATGACAAGGGTCTCAGCTAAGAACTCAGAGGGTAGAGGAAGTTAAAGCTTCAACATAGGAATTTGGGTGGAGCACAGTCCAGCCCATCCCAGTTGGCCGCAGGGTTTTTACCAGTAAACCCTTCGGACAGTGGCTGTGAACCCGCAGGTGGTTGGAGTTGCTCACAGGACTCCCGGAGTCTCTCAGGCTGATGTGATGGCCCATCGTGGTGTTTCTCTCTGGCATTGGGCGTGTACCTCTACCCCTCTGACCACTGGGCCCTTGAATATGACCTGAGTCACCGATTGCTGGGTGTCTGACCCAGTGGGCGTCATGCTGGTCCAGAGCACCGTTCGCTCCTGTGAGTGACCCGGCGTGCTCACCGGCAGCGGAGCCCACACCCCTTTCCACGGAGCAGAACTGGAGCTGCATTTTGGCCACTCGTGTCTCCAACTCCTGACTCAGTCCTGAGGGACAGAAGCCATGCATCTGTGAGAACTTGGTTCTAGTTACTCAGGGGAGGAGAGAATTAGAAATGTCACTCTGGGGAGTTGAGACCAGTTTTCTAAAATAGCAACTAGCCTATTCCTGTCCCTAGCAAGTGGCCCCACCCCTGGGAGGGACCTACCGACCAGGGATGGGACACAGCGCCAGTTACGGCCACTGCAGCCGTCAGGGGTTCCCAGGCTGCCTCTGGAAAGAGGTCACATACAATGCCACCGTTCCCCCTCGGCATCCGCGGATCACAGGTATTGGAGAAGGGTCACCCCTCGATCCGCGGGCCGCTCGTCTCGCCACACTCCCTGTTTGTGACGAGACGGGGGCCACAGCCAGGGTGCTCTGGAGACGGCAGCGGCCTCACCGACCCCCCGATGAAAGGCCCTGACCACGTCGCCTGGGAGGCTGCCGACAGCTGCTGTGCTAAACAACCCCCCTGACTTTTCCTGGGCACCGTCCTCCCTGTCAGTCACTTGGGATTTTTACAGGAAATGGGCTGTGGGAACTCGGCCACCCCAACCGCCTGGTGATCATCGGGGCTGAACAGTGGACTCGGCGTGGGCTGTTCTGGGTCGAGCCGGCGCGTTCTCACAGGAGCTCACGAGGGCTGCCCTCCGCTGCCCTCCGCTGTAGAGGAGGCCAGGCTCTGTTTATACAAAACGCTGTGACTTGTTCGTGAGAACGCCGTGCTATTTACAGAGTAGCAGGAAAACATTAGACCTGTCACTCCCCATCGGGGTTTGAGGCCTGTTTCTAAAACAGCAGCCAGGCTTTGCTAAGTGCCGTGGCCACGTCTCTGGGCTGTGGAAGTGATTTGAACATCTGTATTACCCTGTGGAGCAGGGTGGGAACTCCCGGCCCACGGCCCGTGTGGGGCCCCGAAATCATTTGGTCGGGCCCTGCCCAGGGATGAGGGGTGAGTCGATTAAATGCTGGACCAACCATAGCAGGCTGATTTTTAAGTTGATCCTTTTGTGTGGCCCGAGAATGATGTCATAAACATGCATATGGTTGTACTCCGGTCTGAGAGTGTTTCCAGTGAGCGGTTCTCGCCAGGGGTGACCCGGCAAGGCCTGTGAGGCTCGGGGTGACATCACGGAGGGGAAGATGCGCTGTCATCTAACAGGCAGAGGCCAGGAAGTGACCGCCACGCCATGGGCAGAGGCCAGATTCTGCTGAGCTGTCTGCCGCAGGCAGGACTGCCCGCGACGTGGCGTCGCCGGCCCCGAACCCCCACAGGGCGGAGACTGAGGTCCGGCTTCCCCCCATCTGTGGGTGACCTAGCAGGTCACGGGGCGAGGCTGCGAGCTTGTTCCTGGTGAAGTGATAACACACCGTTCAAGCTTGAACTTGTCAGGCCGGCCGCGCGAAGGGGCGCCGTCCCCGACCTGCCTCCCGTGGCGGGTCCCAGGCCTGGGGAGGACCCCAGGTTCGGTTCCCAGTGCTCTCGGCAGCTATGTAAGGCGGGATTCCTCGGGCGTCGTTCACATCCGCTGCGTGTCCCCATAGGACCGTGTCCATTGTAGGAGGCTGGGGTGCGGGTGAGAGGAGAGCGTGACGCAGGGTCTCCCGTGGGATCGTACGTCACGCTGACGAACACGGTCCCCCAATCCAGCCAGAGATCTGGCTTTAAAGATGGGAGGACTTTTCTTCTGGCCAGAAAGCAGGGCACTTGGTATTTTAGTCTATGACATTAGGAGCTGAGTGGAAACCAGGCATAGGAAGCCGACCCTCCTCTCCCTGGCTGTGGCATGAGCGATGGTGTTAAGTGCTCTGCTCCGCCTCTTCCTGGGATGTGTTTGGGCCCATCTAGTGCTGCCGCAAAGGAGCTTTGCTCATTCACTCGTTTATTCATTTACCCGATAAACGCGGGCGCCCCCAGTGCCTCCATGTGAGCGTCCCACACGCTTCGCCCAGGCTTTGCTGCAGGAGCCTCTCCTACCCCCATACAGGCTCCGCGCCGGGACCCGGGCTGCCCCGCTCCGTGGCTGCAGTTGTGTGAAGCAGAGGGGGAGCCGAGAGACGAGTGGGCCCCATGCTCCCCTCCCAGGCTGTGTGCCCGACTCGAGTGGCCATGGGCCAGGGCGTGCTCCCGTGGAGGCACCTCCTGCGAGAAGGGGCGAAGGACACCGTCCCCCCCAGTTCCCAAGTCAGAGCCTGGATGTCATCCTTGACCCCCATCTTCCCCTCCCCTCCAAGCTCGAAGCGTGACCGAACTCTTAACCTACCTCGTTAGCCCTCCTCTTACCTCATCCCCACCTCTGCGCCCTGGAGACCTCACTGTGGGGGGGCGGGGGGGAAGATCTCACTGCCTCCGTCCACCGTCACCGCCAGGAGCTGGCCCACTGCCCGGGGCGCATCCCTGCTCTCAGTCCCCTCGGCAGGCAGCTGCCCCAGGAATGGGAAGTCTGTAGCCGGGCCTGCGCTGCCCCTCTGCCCTGGACTCCCCTCTCCCCTCCTTGTCCTTCCGGTGAGCAGCCAGCTACTCAGTGTTATGAGGCAGCTGGTGTGTCTCCTGGAGAGAGCCCTCTGGCCCCGCCTTTCTCGGGGCGCCACCGCTCCTCTGCGCCCCGCTGCGTCCAGAACCCACTCCTTCACACTCGTGTCTCTTCAAGGCCCGATGGCTGCAAACTCCCGCGTCCAGCCTGGCCGCTGGGGCAGGGGAGCTGCTTAGTGAACACCTGGGTTTGTAAGAACGCCCTTTCATACTTTGCTGCTCGAAAAGCACTTTCAAAAGCATCGTGCTTTGCTTTTTTTTTTTCTCTGAGACACATCCTGGCTCTTGGGCAAGTCCCTTGCTCTCTCCTAGCCTCAGTGTCCCCATATGCAGCACGTGGTCACACCTCTGTGTGGGTGAGGTCTGTGTTCTCCCTGCCTCCCAGCCTCCTCTGACAAAGAGAGAAGGATGGTCATTTAGATCTGTAACAAGGGCTGTTTGGAAAATCTAAAAACGTCACATCACCATTAACCTAATTCAAATTCCAGTTTCCACTTTCCATTCACTCAGATTCAGAGATGTCTGTGTAGAATGTAAACCACTGTGAAATATTTCAAGTTAATTAGAATATGTCACATGTATACAGTTCACTACAGCTGGATTCCGGTCACTGTACTGGAATCTCTCCCATAGACTATAAATATTTCTCTCTTTTCCGCCTCCAGCACGGCTAGAGAGCGGCCCGGTTCCTGAGCAGGGGCGGCTGGGGATTGAGAAAATGAAAGAAAGAGACAGACACAGAGATGGAAGGAAAAAGCTGGGGCCGGGTGGGACAGCCGTCCTCTGATGGAGAGACAGGGACCCAGAGCCGATACAGCGTGTTTATTTTATACGGCAAAATACCAGGGAGTTTTACTAAAGCCCAAGACAAAGGAGATGATGTGCATTCTTGTGGCTTCTCTGTCATCGTCACTTCTGGGTGGGCCCAGATAAGCGTGTTTGTTCCTGGTGCTTGGCTGGATTCAGATAATGAAAACCCACCTATCGGTGCCTGAACTGAAGGTCAGGCTGACAGCACACCTGCCTCTGGCAAGGTATGTTTCCAGGGCATGGCTCTGCGGGCCCCGCTGGATTCAGATGACAGTCAGCTTAGAGGCCTTTCCCAGGCGCTCTCTACCATAGACCAAGCCC